TTTAACGGAATTCAAAAATTTTTTCGCAGAACTATTTCAAATAATAAGTAGATTCGTTCTAGCGAAAAAAAAATTTTGGGGTTAGGTGCACTTTAAGAGTGATCAGATCAGCCCTCCCGGTCACGTTTCGTTCAATATAATAATATCTTTGTTTTCGTGTAGGTTCTTACACTGATTTCGTTGGATTACGACTTGTTCGTGAAGATGTAGCCAAATTTATCTCAAGAAGAGATGGTTATCCTGCTGATCCAGATGACATCATTCTAACAAATGGGGGATCAATAGGCATACAGGTTCGTCACAAAATTTGTAGTCAGTTTTGTAGTTAGCACGTATATCGCTAATTCCTAATTTTTAAGCCTAGAGTTTCTTTCGACGGAACCGACAATGTTATACAAGGCGTGCAATTTTGATATGTTTGATGCAACGTGCTTTTAACGAAATCCGCGAGCGGTACACTAAAGGAGTGCCGCATGGCGAAGATTGCAGGGCAAAAAATCTAAGAATAAAACTGGTTTGAAGCTAATTCCTCTACAAATGTGAATGAAGTTACATCATAGAACAAAGAACATCAAAGCCGTCACTTCCTTAAATTTCCTGCTTTAATTTTTAACAGAACAGAGCACGGTCAAGTATTTTCCCGTTGTTAACTATAGGAATGTTCAAGTGTCATGATCTTGCCGAGTTAGTACTCATGTACCATTCTAGGTAATCCTTGTTTCTACAGTCTCCAACCAGTAAGAACCCAAATGGTTCGTTCCACTCCGTACAACAGCAAGGTTTCAGTTTCCACTACTAGTTTTATAAATAAAAAAACACACACTCACAACATGCAAGCGAGCCGGCTGGGCGCAAACGATGACTCGCCTAAAAAATAACAAATAAAGTCCCTCACTTCTTGTCTTTTTTTCAGATTGGCGTGGAAGCGCTCGGCACCAGTTCTCTCAACGACAGAGGAAGGGCAGGACTCATGATTCCGGTTCCGGGCTTTTATCAATACACTGCCAGGAGCATAGATTTCAAATTTTACAAAGTAACGTTTGTCTTCACGTATTTTAGACAGCAAGTAGTGAATCTTTTTTTTTTTTTAACAAGATTCTGACGCAGCCGAAATTTCATAATCATACCAATCATTATCAAACCCGAACGGGGATTGTACCACAGCGAGTTCACCGCTCGCTCTTTATTTCTCACTTTTTTAATCTCGCTCACAGTCTCTCCGCTCTCTTCCTTTCTATAAGGAAAAATTGCTCGTATTCGACACTAAGGTATTCCACAATTAAGATCAACATAAACTGATTACCCGTATAGATTGGGTTAATTACATTTGCTGTAAGGTTGTTGCTGTAAAAGTCAGCCTTAAGCATGGCGCTAAAGCCCAGGGAACGCTAACAGAAATGCAAGCTTGGGTTTGGTGCTCGAGCTTCAAAAACAATAATTATTGTTACTAACACATGTGATTTTCCTTTTTTTTCAATATCTTTTTTTTTTTTTTTTGCTGGGTAGATTCCTTACTATTTGGAGGAAGAAAACAACTGGAATTTTAACACTAGCGAACTGAAGAGAGCATTAGACGAGGCCAAGCCACACTGTACACCGAGGGGACTGGTACTCGTTAATCCAGGAAATCCCACAGGTATCAAGTGCAGGCAAAGTTAATGAACACACTTTGAAATCAATCAGGGAAACGTCCTTTGTTCTCACTGGTAGAAAATAACGACGAGAAGCTTCTCAGAGAGGCGGTGTCATTTTCAGTCGTATTAAATTTTGCCTTTTTCGTTCGTTCGTTTGTTCGTTGGCTCGCTCCTTCGTTTATTTGTTCGTTCGTTCGTTCGCTCGCTCGCTCGCTCATTCGTTCGTTCGTTCGTTCGTTCGTTCGCTCGCTCGCTCTTTTGTTCATTCGTTTGCTCACTCGCTCGTTCTTTCGTTCGTTTGTTCGTTCGTTCGTTCGTTCGTTAGTTTATTCACTTTTCGTTTTCTTTTTTTCCATAGGCCATGTATTGACTTATAACACCATTAGAGACGTTATCAAGTTTTGCGCCAGAGAGAAACTGGTTTTATTCGCCGATGAAGTATATCAGGAAACACTGTTTACGAATGAGGTCCAGTTCCACTCGTGCAAAAAGGTTCTGAGGGACCTTGGACCCGAGTACATTAAATTTCAGCTGATGTCAATACACTCAGTCTCCAAAGGAATTTATGGCGAGTAAGAGAAGCATTTTGTTTAATGTTTTTAGGCGAGTCAAAGAATATGTATATTTACCTCATTAGCATAAGCGATTCAGTTTCTAATGGATCCACAAAAACACAATCAGTGCTGAAACAGAATGTTAACTCTGTCAATGAATTTGAACCCAATGTATTGAATACTGTCTGTGCGACGCGGTTTAAAAAACTCAAAATTTTACAAAAAGGCAAGAGCTCATTAATGTTTTTATCACCTAAAATTCTACAGCTTTTGAAAGACAATTTCTCCTTGAATATTGCACACAAAGAGCTTAGAATCCCCTTTATTAAAAACTGAATCATTGGATAAGGCAATTCGAGAATTTTCATTGGCTTAGCCATCATGGGTTATGAGCAATTACACCATGCTCTACAAATTTGGTAAGCGTGCGCGTGATTTTTGGGGCGTTTTCTTTTTATTTTATTTTAGTTTTCTATGTTTTGGGCGTGTTTTTAACAAAACAATTATTCAACTCACGCTTGTAGGATATGAGATTATCATAACCTCATATCCAACGCTTAAAGAACATAGAGTCACTATCAGGGCTGTTGCAGAGCCCTTGAAATAACTTTGTTGAAAAGAGCATTACCCAAAGAACTTCAGTGACCTTTTCTGTGTAGTGAATATTTAATTGTGAAAATGTAAGGGATGGCATTTTGCAAAATAAGCGCTTCCAGGTTTTCTTTGACTATGTGTGCGTTATGCTAGTGGGTTCAAAGTAACTATTTTGACTAGCGCCATTTTTTCTATTGAATATACATGTACACACAAGTCAAATTGTGTTGAATTGAAGTACTGTTAATTTTTTTCCCCCATTGTTTTTCCTGATTTTTAAGGTGTGGCTTACGTGGAGCGTACTTGGAGTTAGTAGCATTTAGCAAAGAGGTCAAACGTCAATTTAGAAACAAACTCACGCCACATAGCTGCCCTTCAACGATTGGACAGGTATTTTTTGTAAAAAAACAATATTTTAACGTTCGTGACCATCTCTAACTTCTGGTCACTCGTAAGTAAGTTGCATACAGAAGGGAATTACTTTATAATTGATTGATTGATTGATCGCCGACCGACCTCCGATCGACCGATCGTCCGACTATCCGACCGACCGAATGACTGACTTTACATTTAGGTATCAGAGGTGCCAAAATTAGCATTTTCTGATTTCCTTGCGTTTTTTGTTTATGTCTGTAATGCGTTGTTATGATTGACAGGCCCGCGTGATAGGGCTATGAAAAAAACCTGTCCACTATCAACTGGCATACGTTCCCCGACTGTATATATATATATGTATATATATGTATATATATATATGTATATGTAGTTAAGTGCAAGATGAGGCGTCATGAAGTAAACTTCTAACTGTTCCGGCTTTTAATGTGACGTTTCGGCCTTCGGCCTTCTTCAGATTGGAACAATATTTACAAGTTAAAAAATAAAACGTTAAAAATCCTCAGAATTCACATTGAAGCACGGTATCTTTTGATCCTTCTACTGGAAGTCACCGTTTGGAAAACCATATTATTCTGCCTATATATGTATATGTATATATGGGGGTAATCTTGTACATCGCAGCTAAAACTTAAGGCGTTTGTTTAAAACTCTCGACACAGAAATGAGTTCTTTTCGAAATGAATACAAGGGAAATACAATAGCAAAAGAAGATCAAGGTAGGTTACCTTGATCTTCTCTTGAATTAAAGTAAATTTGCTTTACTATTGAAGGCCGCCCTGAGTGCGATGTGCAATCCGCCTCAACCTGGTGACGAGTCTTACGAAGTGTTTATTAAGGTATGATTTTGATTATTTTATGTTCTGGTTTTTGCAGATTTACAGTTTGAGAAGTGTGTCAAAGCTTATTTTTACAATCCATTTCATTTTTGGTCTGTGGCGCGATTTGTAAATAAAAAGTCAAGAGAACACATATATCCAATCACTGCATTACGTCGGTCTGACCAGTTGAGAGCAGAGCGAAAGCAGATTAATGAGTGCGAGCGGGACGAGGGACCGGATAGAGAAGAATGACCGAATTTTGGGCAAAAAAATATCCTAAATTACAAGGAAAATAAGGCAGCCGAATAGTAATCTGCTTATTCAATGGTACTGGTGGATAATACGCGGTACGCGGAATATTATTTATCAAACCATACAATCGTCGGATAAGATGTGTTGGTCTTCCACAGTCTCAGATCTCGGCTGGAATCTTTATGAGTAACTATATTACTCTCCTTCTGGTATTCCTCTATGTAGTTTACTACACTATTATTTTCTGTGACGTTCATGTCACTGTTCAAGATAGTTTCGATGTTGAAATTGCTTTTGCGATACCCTCCCTTAACATCTCCCATTCCTACCTTTCTGTCATAGGAGAAGATGGCCATTTTAGACTCGTATCAAAGGAAAGCCAAGATCACCACCTCAATGTTGAATTCTCTTGAAGGAATAACGTGTAGTGAAGTAACTGGAGCCTTGTACGCCTTTCCCAGAGTTCATCTTCCACGGAAAGCTATAGAAGAGGCCAAAGTAAGAACTGGCATCACTTGTGTGAATTAAGCAGGAAGGAAGCTTAAGTTTGAGTCAGTTGCTATTACAGTAGACTAAAAGTTCGAGATTTTAATGAGGTGATAGTTGATGAGCCGGAATCAACCATCACCTCCTAGAAAGCGAGAACGAATAATCGAATTGCTTTAATAGAATTATAACAAAATTTCTTTCAAATAACAATTTCCAATGATTTTTCTACAGTAGTATTTAACCGGCCACGCTTTAGCACTTGAAAATCGCGCGAGGATTGCATTGCCTGCAGCTATTCACACACGCTAATCAGTTCATAGAAAACTTTGAGGTTTTAAAGTCGCATAACGGCCAACTTCCTTTCCTTAATATTTTTGGAAAATGAAATGTCCAGTAATATTTCTAAATCTCCTTGGAAAAATATATAGAATTTTACTAGCAAGCTACTGTTAATGCTGCAGTCTGATTGGCCGAACTATCGTACACTATCAGCCACATAAGTGTGCAGTGGTTGGAGGTCGTCCACGTATTGGCAATTTTTTTTTTGTTTCTCCGATGTATTGAGGAAAAATTAAAAGGACAGAGTCATGACTGTCTTTGTAAGCGGCTGTTTTTATGTTCTTTTCAGTTAGCAAATTGTGGACCGGACGAGTTCTACTGCTGGCAGATGCTTGAGGCCACTGGAATAACTCCCGCATGTGGGTATTTGTTTGGACAGAAGGAAGGGACCCATCATTTTAGGTGAGAATTTACGTTACACATCTTCACGCATTTCAACGAAGCTAACACTATTTGAAGAGACTAGTTCTGGGAGCACTCAACTGGCGTGATTATTAAGGTAGAATGGTAGTTAACAAGGCGTATCCGTAACAGACAAGATAGATCGTTGTAAGTCGTTTTTGGTAAAGAAGTTCATTTGTCTCGTTCTCTTCCTTGCAGACTTACAATTCTACCTCCAGAAGAAAAACTAGTGCCCATGTTCGACAGAATAAGCAAGTTTCACAAGGAATTCATGGATAAATACAGGGATGATAATGATAATAACAAGCTGTAGTGACTTAACAAGCCAACAACAAAAAAGTCGCGGAATAACAAAAAATAAAATAACTGGAATGATTTCTACCTGTCCATTTGCGTACGCGGTTACAAGGAACCAGACTAGGAAACTTGTTATTTATTTAAACTTATGCTATCCAACTTATTGTTGATGAACTACGTTATACAATTGTAAAGCATTTTCCCAGGCATTGTCACCGCTGACATGTGCCCTGACACGGAAAGATATGAAAGAAATATGAAAACATGAAAAAAACCACAAACCACTGACATCGCTACGACGTTTTTCTGGTGCCATTTCCCTGTGTGTACACGAAAAAAAGTGAGCGGAGTAATCTTCTTCTAGACTGCAAAACAGTCGTTTTTCGCGTTTCATCCGACGTGAAACGTTCAAGGCATTAACCGCCACGAAACCACGCTTGAGTTTCTCTTGTTCCCCCTATGATCCCTTCCACGCCGTGCTGAACTTATCAGCCGGAATTCCAATTTTCTTTCTTCTCTTCCCATAAAAATCTGATTTTGTAAAACAAAAATTTGGGATAAAATGTGCTGGCATGGTCCCAACCAATATCAAAACAAATCAAAACGCCAGTGCTATAGGAGTTTGCGTCGATTTTGAATTCCGATCGACGAATATATA